TCTGCCGGGGCTAACTGCAGATACGGTCGCGCGAGCTGTAATATCGATTGCAGCGATCCGACGAGTCCTCATTAGTCGAATTTCCAGGCAACAAAACCGGCGTCTGCTAGTCCTGCGCGTGACCGGATTGACAAATGGGTATTGCGAATTTTCTTGCGCAATGAAATCTCGAGTGCTGCCATCTAGAGCAATGAGTCGCTATTACTGAGAATTTTATAGTCAAATTGAGCGCCGATGATGAACAGAATCGAAATCAGAGAGATGCACGTCGTGCGGTAGAATGAGGAACTTCCCGTAATTTCTTATCCTTTTAACTTTTTAGGGGGTTGCGTCGAGGTAACTGGTGAAACAAGAGAGCAGAAGATGACTGTATGTGTAAAAATAAGCAGGAAAGGAAGAGTACAATTTGCTCTTGCAAGGTCCCGTTTTAGATATAGACCGTGGTGGCGCTAGTGAGTTAGATGCAATGTCACGATGAGGCCCAAGGATCATCGTTACTCTTTACAATCTCATCGCGACTCTTTGAGTCAAAGCTATGGAGATATTCCGATTCTTTCGATCGGAACCAAAAAGACGTTCCAACTCTTGGGGTCAGAATTGTAATGGTGCCATTTTGGTCTTTTGGGTCAGAGCCATAAAGACACCAATCATCTACCGCTGTAGCAACTCTGAACCAATATATTTTCTCTCATCTACTTTGTACACAGTTCCAGTCTACCAATCCTTATCTATCTTGGCTCGACTTTAATCTATATAGCACACATTTATACTCGTAATCAGTGGTTCAACTGAATAACTGTAAATTGTAAAATGCATCTTGTTACCCTACTACAGGCAAGAGAAATAAATAAACAGTTTAGTTACTAATTAAGTTCTAACCTAAACAGTATAATAGCTAAATAGTATTTTATAGTCAAAAGAGAAAATTCATTTCCTTTTTTCAACGAAATATTTCCTCAGACGATAATTGAAAAATTAATCATGTAATCAAATTCTAACCTAAGTGTCTCAGTCATTGGACATTCGAAGATAGAATATGTGAGTGGAAGACACCTAACGTAACATTTCGGATATTTTGCACGAGGACGCGTTAGCGAGGAGCGACGGTGATTTACTTAAATACACAGAAGATAGTGCAAATATTTGATCGGCGGATCTCGACGAGAACAATACGTCCCTACGGAATGGCGGAATGAATCGCGTACGCGCGAGGGAGATGGTATCGTGAAGAAACCGTCGAGTCATTTTCCGGATTAAATCGGGAAAGTGTTGGTTGGGACGAGCTGTCTTCCGACACGTTTCGCGAACGACGCGAGAGGTGGTCGTTTCTTATCTCGGAGCGTCCCAACGCCGCTAACGCCATCTGCCGCTTCTTGGACAACTGGAATTTGTGCCATGTGAGAAATGAGGGGCGAGCTGAATGGCGAAAACTTGGACAAATATTCTGGTCTTGTGGAGTTTCAGCGTCTCGGTCAATAAAGCTTGTCGCTGGATCGTGTCCATTGTGGATCCCCCTTGAGACACACTCTGTCGTTCAGTCGCTCACACACGACCGTAAAGCGTAGCGTACGAATGGCCAGTTTCTCCTATGCTGGGTGCATATATTTTGCTAAACTGCGACGAATAATACGCGCATTTCTATTCTCCTGGGTATTCAATGCAGAGCTTACGTTCATTCATCGTTAATTCGAGACTAGTTCGTGAATTTCATTATCCCCCCTGTCCCACTCTACGTGCCGTAGTTTTCCTTCAGCATTTCCTTCGACGATTGCCGTTGGCCGCCATTTTGGACGGTCAGTTATTACGAAACAGGTCGAGTTTCAATCTCCCAATTTTATTTAACGGAATCGGTTTCAGGTGGTCGTTCGTTTACTCGGTGTGTTGTGCTTCGTAAGTTTACACCATCTTCCAGTCGTTCCCAGTGAGCTCGCTTAATGGGAATTCGCCAGCACTCTAAACTGGACCAAAGCCGCTGTGAATACAGCGCCCTCTGTGAACCTTATGTAATGTCGTTTAACTCGTGTAATAACTCGACTTTTAAAATGAAATTAAGGAACGTTTAACAGCCTCGAGAAGAAAGTACGAATGTAAAAGACTTTCGCGCGAAGTTTCACGGGAAATACGGGAACGAAGGCTGTAGAATACGCTGAACGCGCAGATGGCGCTGCTTTAAAACGTCCGCTTTTTCCCGTCGATAAGCTAGTCGTTACAATAATACCATTCCGCTTAGTAACGTGATGCACCGGCTAATGTAATCTCGTTAATGCCCTACGTTAATCCTATTTTCATGAAAATGTTCCACGCTACTAAAATCGCCGCCTAATGCTACTAATTAGTCGCCATTAATCGCGGCGCTAGTGTCGCTAGGGCGTTTTACCTACGCACTTCAGCGGCAGTCTCTTTGAACGTAACACAGCGGTCAATTTTCCGACCATATTTCATTCGGAATTGTACATTGTAATTTATGGCATGCGTTAATTAACTTCTTTCACCGTGATCAGGTAAAGAGTCGTATAGGGTGTGCTGATAGGTTAGTCGCGAAATTATTAGGCGATAACGCTCCGTGAAATAACTTTGAACGGATACAGTGTGTTGACGAAAATTTGCATCGATTCGTGTGTTTGTCGGTGTATTTGCTGCTCGTGCTATAGTGTATGCTGTGAATGGAAACGGTGAAAATCCGCCACACGGTTGTTCTCCATATATTTTAATCTGCTTTTAGGGATCGAAGATTATTCGGGATTCCTTTAGGTGAATTATTAAATCTGTCTTTCTTTTTTTCTAGGCTATAACCTAGTATGTAAAATGGGTCTCAAAGAATTTTAAATTGTACCCGATTCAACGTATTTTCTATAAAATAGTTTTTAACAATAAAATGATTCAGGCTGATCGTAATGAATGATCTCAGATTTTATTTCAACAGCTTGGTTGAAGCTAATGTTAATTTTTGTTCAAACGGGAAATTATACATGAGTATTAATTTCCATTAAAATTAAATTATACTATGGTTAGGTGCACATCACAGGTACGTAGTTACAGTGTTAATAAATAATGAATATCTTCAGATGGCGGTATTAACTGACTCACCCTGTATAATAATAATTATATTACGCGAGCACAGTCAATTATTATATAATTACCCAGTGTCAGGTCGAATCATATAAATTGAAATACATCGTTGACACGAACAGTTGAAACCACATACGTGACTCTAATTATATTGCTCATAATACAAATTGTTTCCTCGATAGGTTACAGAATTAAAAGTAAATCAGTGAGTTATTCGCATTTTCCTGAAATATAGGGTTTTTCACAGAACACCCTTCCATATTCTTCCTTTACTCTTTCATACAGGAAGAGATTAAAATTTCCACTTGAAACGAAACGATAAATGTTACATCGTGAATTGAACTGGAATAATATAGCTTTTATGCGAACGAATTTTTTCAGAACCAATATCCTCGAAATTATAGTAGCCTTCTAAAGTACTCCACTGTAATATAAAATTATATATTATAATATATAATATGTAATATATAGGATAATAAAATTTAATTACCTTAATTATTGCTAATTTTAGGTATCTTCAATATAAATATACCAGTATCGTGTTGAACGTAATATTTTGGAACAAGGAAATATATATATATATGTATCTCCAAACATTCACGATAGTGACTTTATCGATCGACAATTGGTATACGTACGCGAATATCAATTTTAGATATTTTTAATACAAAATACCAGCATCGTGTTGAACGCAAAATTTTCGAAGAAAATATATGTACCTCGGCACGTTCACGTCAGTGACTTTATCGATTGATAGTTGGTACAACTGTGTAAATATGAATTTCGGATATTTTTAATATAAAATACCAGCATCGTGTCGAACGTAAAATTTTCGAAGAAAATATATACGTATATGTATCTCTATACCTGCACGACAGTAACTTTATCGATCGTCAGTTGGTATGCCTGTGTGAAAGATTAGAGCAGTGACAATATAAATTCTTTCTTGCGAGAAAATATAATAAATCACGAAATCCGAAGACACGTCGAGGATCGGGTCACAAACGCCCATAATAGCACGGTACAATTGTAGTCGTGGCGCGAACGTTTAAATCTAACTTAAATTTAAATTCGATCGATCAACGTTTCTAATTCGATGCTAAGATGGCGGCGCTCGAAGTAGCGAAGTAGGTTAAGCGAGACCGGTCCGCGCTTCTGTCGAGATCAATCTTAAACAGCGCGTAGCTCGATGAGAAAAGCATATTATAGGGATGAAAAGAAGAGTCGGGACGATCGAGTATCGAACAACCGTGGGGAGACGTTGAGCGTTGCCGCGATCGACGGCAACATGGAGCCGAGTGCGGCTGAAAAATTCATGCTACCTTTCCAACGTTTCCGATATCGAAAGCGAGAGAAAAAGGAGAAGTCGACATCCTTTAAGGCGCGAAATGACGTATTCCCGTTAAAGGTTGTGAAGTGCACCGATTCCATCCAGAGTTATCCAGTTTTTAAATTAGAATCTCTGGAGAAGGAATAACTACGGAATAAGTTCCGATCGAGAAAGTAATGGTACTTGACAGATTTAGACTGACTCGAGAATCATTCCTGTAACGCTTTTCCAGCATATTTTATTATTCCTACTGATAGATTTGTAGGTGTGATTGCTTTAGCCAATAAAAGCGCGATTGATAATCAGACAGACTGCAACATCACTGTGTAGTATCTTCGCTGTGCCGTGTACAAAATTTAACGAGGATGTTCGATATATACTTTGTGTCAATCATACTGTAGATCAGTTACTTCTACGATATTATACTCTACACAAAGGCACGCACACATATTTCATCCCCGTCGCGATTATTATTAGAGGAACTGGGAACCGATTATACTCGCACACGCATTTCCACACACACCTTCTCACTAGAAATGAAGAACAAATGGAAGGGGTAGACCGACAGTCAGTCTTCAAATGAACGCCAACATGTGACGTTTTGTAAGATTACATCTTAGTGCTCTGTATCAGTTTTGTATTTTTAAAGCTAGGAATAGTGCACGAAGCGGAATGTCCGTCACATTTTTGACGTAGCTTGATTTCAGTGGTCGAAAAAATATTCCATTAATCGATCCATAAAGAATTTTTTCGATTGTTAAAATTGCCATGTTTGAACGCGGCGACTGAACCGATAAAGCAAGTGGAGTGTCTGCGACAAAGAGAAAGGATACATTGCAGGATGCGCGCGCAAGTGAGGTTAACCTTCAAGGGAATCTGAACGCGCGTAATGCTGCCTATCGAAGCATACGAAATAATATATATGCATTGTGTGTTGGGAAACGTTAATTCCGCCATGTTAACTCATCTTTCGATATTTATCCGGAGAATTTTTCCATACAAGCTGAATATATTTTTCCAGATACTCGCACAGTTCTAGATAAATCGGATAAGCTGTATAATGGGTATAAAAGCGATGGTTTGCTGGAACGTTTTTAGGTGCACCCTATTCCAAGTGGAACTAACGATCACAAGAAGAAAAACTGACCGGGTAAACATAATTTCACCGAAACAAAGGAGAAAGGAGGAAACCGATAGTAATCGATGCGTCATGGTACAATGCTTCCCCATTTGTATTCAAGCAATAACGAGAAAAAGCTGCAAGTTTTTGCTAACTTCTCGTTATCGTTCGCGCGAAATTTCCGTTTTATGCTGCATCGAACGTATATTCGAACATTAATCTTTCACCGACTTTAAGAATTGCCTAGAAAGAAACTATCTTCGCATTAATCGAGAGAGGCTCACCGTTTCGGTTTCGGTTTCGGTAGGTACACTTTGGAAATTAATACGTACACCACACAAACTTTTTTAAAGTAATCAGATGGTTTGTCTTGAAATATAAGAGAATTCCATACGTTTCTTCACCAAGAATATTTTTAATTTATTTAACTATAATTCATTAAAATATGTGCTTGATCTATTATCTTATACGTTTATTAATACAAAAATTACAAATAAGATTTTGTTAAATTAATGATAAAAGATTAAAGACATTCTTTGTGTTATAATGCAAAATTTTTTTATTTTCATGGTAATTTTTCTAATATAGTAATATAATATTTTTCAGGAGTGTAAGGTTCTGAGTTTTCATGCATAGTCTGGAGCACGAGAGGATTAAAACGAAAAATCTCTTTACATATTTTAACAGCAGGTTATCGGAGTGCTTTGATGAAATTCAAATGTATATTAAAAGCATTCTCGATTGTTCTTTTTTCCCATGGTTATCGATCTACACACATTTGCCTAAACGCGCTAGAAGATATTAATATCGTCGAAAACACGTTTTGTTTCAGACAATTTTTCAGAGGAGAATGGATATTAAAAGCAAGCGGCGTATAATTTGAAATCAATAGAGTTGTGCTCGACGTTTAATAGGATAGTGGTTTTCGACCCAGATATTATTTTAACCCTGCACAATAATTAATCGGCAGCGTGGTAATCTCGTCTTTCTTATTATTCAGAACGTTCCTTTTTCATGGGCATAACGCAATTAAAGAAATAAAAGGCGTATTAATATTCCTTTTCTGGGGCTCTTTGTAATAAACATTCGTCTTTTTTTAGTGGCAGTTCTAATTTGTCGATTGCAACCCTCGTCTGGATCTTTAAAATGGTTCGTGGCTTCTTTTTCTTTTTTTTTGTTTTATATTTCTTTATTTTCTTTCTTTCCTTTTGCAGAGGAATGAATTCATTAGTAGCCGTAGCCGAGAGGGAAAAAGAAAATTACAAGATTGTTAACCGAAGCCGCGAGTTGGACGAGGTCAAAGGTGCAATCTCAATTTTCTACATCTCCTTCAATTACATCCCCGAGGCATTAATCTTCGCGAAGTAGCGCCGTGCTTCTGTGTACTCCATAATACATTCAAAAAACCAGCGATACACGCTCGATTGTACGCCTACTCGAATATTAAAAAGTTTTTTTTTTTTTTTTTTTTTAATTATCCACGTGTAACTAAAATGTCTACGTGACTGACGTATCTAAGTAAATATGATATATTTACATTTATAAAAAGTACACTAGTACACACGTTGTTACGTAAGAGATAAAATTAACGAGATGAAAGATAATTTTGTTTTATCTCAAACGTGACATAATAACTGGTCTTTGTATTTTTATAGATATTCAAAATATGAAGCTGCTTTTGGCACAATTAATTTTGTCTTTTATTCACATAGGAATATGGCTATATATATATAATAGTTTATCCTTATCGTATTATACTTCAGTTAATCACGTGTGCCATATTGATGTATATATTACAGGTTGGTAATACTAATATTATATTCTGTGTAGAACTAAAATGCTATTAAATTCATAGATAATAATACCAATGTCGCTATGAATTTATTTCACGCTGTTGTTAATAGGAAATTTTGACCAATAATGTTATTAATGTTCTTAACCAGCAACATGCCCAAATTTATTTAGCAGACTGAATTAACTTCTAATTTAGAATTTCGTGTCGCTATCGATTCAATGCTTATGCATTGTTATATATCCAGAATACAAGCTGTTGTAGATTCTACCATCTACTGACACAAAGGATCATTACAATTTAATGGTCCCAATGTAGTGAGCTGCACATTGTTACATACAATCCAGACTTCTGAATCGAAATACTCAAACCGATGGTAATTGGTAAGTATAGAACGGAACTGTTATTAGGTTAGGTTACCCGTTAAAGCATTTAACGTTATTAAAATATTTGTAATATTTAAGTTCGTCGACAGAAGCTGATTAACGATAAACAGAGAGGACAATCTTACCCGAATTAGAAGTGGAAAATTGTAAAAATATGGAATTATAGCGTGTCGACGAAATAACCTCAAAAAATGCAAGGTTTATTTGTTATGTTGCGCGATAATAATTGCGTGAAGATGGAAAATGAAAAGTATTATCAGAAAAACGAGCGAATTCAAATGTGTTGCGTTTGGTGTTCGTAGAGATAACGGGTCTCGCGACCGCTAATCAGGTCGGAATTGGTTGGCATTGTCGAAATTTCCACGAGGCGACGCGTCGCGCCATTACGTTTCACCGCAACGACCGTGCCCTTTCGCTCGGAATTCGATGACGTTGTATTCGGTGAATTAAAGCGTCAACGCGCAGTGACGCGTTAGCTTGCACACCGTTTTGTTTTTATGTGACTGTGAAAAAATGGCCGGAACAAATTTACTTATCGTAATTAAGGTAATTTACTGTGATTTCATTATCCATCTTCGACTGTCGTTCCCTAGCTCAATTGCGTACTTTATTATCACGTATCTTCTTCAACCTGGTGACATAACCTCAAATTATTATATTTATACATTATATAATTATTATATTTATTAATTTAACAAAAATTAATTTTACTACAGTTACTAACAAAAGATATATTTTTTATTTGCAGATTATCATCAGTATGTAGCAAACACCCTCACTGCTAGATGAGGGCCTGCTAGAGAGCCTTACCGATGAATCCCAGGACGAAGCACATCCCTTGTTTACGTTCCTGCTACCTGCTACATATCATAGCGCGACGGTCATCAGGCCCCACTAGACAGCACCGTAGGAACCAACAAGAAAATAAACCCTGGTAAAAGGCGACCCCCACAAGTATAATACAACCAGGTAATAAATATATTGTATCATGTTATATATAGTTCAATCATCAATTGAAGGTTAATATTAAAATTACTGATTCACGATATCTACATATATATAGTATATGTAAACATGAAGAAATTAAAATTGTAAATTTTTGTAAATAAGTAAATTTTTAATCATCCGGATAAATTCGGTAATTGCAGCATTGATAAAGGAAGGGATGAAAGGATGGAAATGATATTAGATCCGTGAGAGTGCTTTTCCTTCAATAATGACACTGAAAGAGTAACAAAACAGTATAAGAGGTTCCATTCGTGAGCAGATCTAGCCTACAAACGAAGCAGGTTGGGACCCATTAAACGTATATTCTCTCTCAAATTGATTATACACACACATACACACACGTACACTTGAATCTCGTCGAAAGAACGAATTCGATGAATATACAACTCGGGTGTTCCCTGAATTGCATCGCATATCGAGCCAGTGAATCGAACGAAGAAAAGGAAGATTAAAATCTGTTAATTCCACGCTTTACGATGCATCGAAGAGTAACACGATTGTGTTTTAAGTACATCGTCGATTGAACTCTGTAGAGTATCCAACGGCATCGAACAGGCACGGTTGAATGAGCCAAGTATTTTTCATTACGATTTCCTTTGAAAGTATTTACAAGGTAGCCAGAGTCGAAGGAATATGATGGAAATACATGGAACGGAAAAGAGTGGATGCAAGAGTGGCAGGGGTGAAGGGTGCACGTTAAATGGGGGGCTGGAGCGGAACGGCGCATTCGGAGAATGCCAGGCTATCAGGTAACAAGGAAGAATCGCCGTACAGTGCCGCGAGAAAGGCGAGCCACGCGAAATCCGGTGTTTCAGGAACGTCGCAAGCTTCTTAGCATCAGCGGAGAATAAATCGTGCGAGAAGAAAGAGGAACTCGACGGTTGACGCTGTCGCGAAATAATACATCTCGGTGTAAAGGGGCTGCATAAATAAGAGCCGCAGCGGCGCTAGTGTCGCGGCAAGCGAGGCCAGTCACGCCAGAAGCGTCGCTTCAATTTATCAACTGTCGAGTGAACGCCTTCCAAGAGTTTTACTCTTCTTTAATCTACGAACCAACTATCGGTGAGCATATCGGTAACGAAGCTTACAAGATCCGCGCTTTTCTTCCTCTCCCTTCTTCTCTTTTGTTGTTACGCTTTGTATTCGTCTCTTCTCTAGACCAGTATCGAACAAGTTTCAATTCATTCGTGTTTGGAGGCACCACAATGGAAGCTGGGTAATAGCGGTACAGCATTCGAGAGGCAACATCGACCTAGCTTTTGAACCCGTGTTCTTACCACGTTCGATCGGTTTACCATTGGTTATGCTTTAGCAATCTCTTGTCGAGGAAGAAACGAAACGATAAAAGGGGTTAGAACAAGTTTTAACATCACGTTCACGGTGACATAGTTTCTTAACTCTTCAGAATACTGGTCACTGATCTCTAATCTTCAATATGTATTTCTCTGAATTTTTGAGTCTCCTAATGCAATGTCAATCCGGTATCGGCTCGCCGTGTCGCTCATCTACGACAGGCTGTTCCAGGAAGTGGTGGGAGTAGTGGAATAACGGTGGGGGTCTCGAGAGACCCCGTTACCATTGCGCGAGGGACCGTACTGCGAGGGTAAATTCACCTCTGGACCCGTAAGGTTCGCTTATGTAATACACTATTTGCCCCTCTATGCTTAAGATGATTGGGTACTCACCTAATCGTCACAGACTCAGCTGACGTTTCTGCTTACAGGTCTTGAGAGGAATCTTTGAAAACTGTTTTGAACCTTCTGAAGCTTCTTTAAATGGAAATGGAATTTTGCATCGTCCAGAAACTTCTTGAGAAACTTCCAGAGGAACAATCACTTTCATATACAGCGTGTATATGTTGTATCGTTAGGATCGAATACCCGGAAACGTTTTGGAAACGGATGAACGACTTACGGATAGAGGGGTTATTTTTCTAGGGTGTGTAACGCGGAGCTATAAGAAATTAAATCAGAGCAGTCGGCGGGTGGGAGGGCACGGTAGAGTCTGGCTGGCTGGCGTTTCGCGGGCTGTTCTATTTTCTTGGTTGCAATTGCAGTTGCAACGGGCGGACCATCTGTTTTGTACGCGAGCGGGTTTCGTTATGTCCCGCTAGTTCGGATGACACCTCCCGTATTAAAACAATACCGAATGACGCGTGACGCCTGTAGCCTCGGTAAAATATTGTTTATATGCAAATTACTGCCAACGGCAAACTTCGAGCTAACGGGCTTTCCTTTCGAGAGACTTGTTGGTATTTTTCATTTGTAACCAGTCCCACGACTGACACCGAACTCGGGATTTTTCCTACGCGCCAAATGCGCAATTTGTTTTCCACTATATGAAACGTGTTGTTGTGAAACGTAAACGCGTATTTTATAAACAGCTACCGCGTTCCTTTCCGTCTATTATTTACCTGTGCCGAGTGAATTTTATACACTGGATGGGGAGTTAACCTCTACAAGTTAGTATAAGTATCGCTCTGATTTATTTTTCTTTCCTTTCCTTTCTTTTTGTTACATTTATGATAACATTATTTCATTTTATGATCGATATCGAATATCGAAATTCGACAGAATTTTAACCTTTTAAATCGCTGTCGACAGTACTAAATAGTAACGGAAGGATTCAAAATTAATATCGTACGTTACTGGTTAATGCTCGAGTTTCTTATCGCCTCTAAAATATCCCAAATTACTGGTTCAGCA